AAAGATGAAGCGCCTTCGTCATGCAGCGGCCTATACTCAATTACATTGTGTCCGAAAAATGTATGCGTCATAGTCAAAAAGAGGAAAATCACGAAATTAATTGCAAAACTTACATTCGTCAAGCTAATATATCTATTATATGCATGTTTTATAATGGTGATGATCTGGTTGGTAAAATTGTGAATATGTTTGCTAAAGCTACATTTAGCTTTTTACTGAACATTTCTTATGCAGTTTCAAAGTAAAATGCTTGCTTATAGCTACAGTTTCAGGTGCAACATCAGACCATGATACTTCGACACATTCGAATCGTGACCGCAGCCGTTCTCGTTCACGCGATCGCAGAGAACGTAGAGAACGCCGGAGACGATCGCGGTCTGGAGATCGTGATCGTCACAGAAGACATAGAAGTCGATCCAGAAGACGTAGTAGATCGAGGGATAGGAAACGGTCAAGAAGTAGAAGTAAAGGACGCTCGCGAGATCGCTCTCGAGATCACTCGTCGCCGGTTGTTACTGTCGCGCCTGCACCCATCCATAAAGAACCGGTTATAAATCCGTTGATGAGGCCTGAAGTTGGTGAGTAGTAAGAACGCGATTTGCCTTTTTTCTGGTCTCAAGAATTCAAATGTTTAGCGTTAGCTGGAATAGCTGGAGCGGATGGAGTTCCAGGCAGTGAGAATGCACTGACAGAAAGGAAGCGCGAGAGGAAGTCACGTTGGTCGGTGACTAAAAGTTTTGTACCAGGAATGCCCACAATTTTGCCGTCCAACTTGACGGACGATCAGAGGACCGCATATCTTCGTGAGTATTATACATATTTTTTCTCATTTCTTTGGTAAAATTTTTCCTTATACTCCAAATAAGTTTAAAATAAATAAGAACTGGAGATACGTGCAGATTTTGGTAAGTTAGTACAGGTACGTCAGTCTTTTATATCCTGTTTGGCTTTTCAAAATTTAACTCCAAAATTCATGGTCTTGCTGAAAAGGTATGAACATGACATATTCGCTACACTTTTGCTGAAAAAAGTCAAGAGTGTTTGTTTTCAAATGTTAAATTACGTAAATCTAGAAGGGCGACTTTCCGTCATTTATATTTAAATCCAAGTTTCTGATGTTTGAAAGCCAAGTCAAATTTTATTTCCAAAACCGATTTTTTGTCAGCGATATGGCTGACTTTCTTCTTGTTTTTTGAGAAAGCAGAGTTTTGTTTGCAAACATTTGAAAAATTGATTATATACTTGTAATTTTTTCTTTATTCCTTTATTTT